CTGGGCAAATTCTCGCCACCTCCAAAAGGTATAAAAGCATTCTTAGCAATTTCATTATTTAAAAATCTTTCTGGAATGAATTCATCAGGGGTTTCCTAAAATTCAGGTAATTTATTTCATGTTCAACAAAGATATTTGTATTAGCTTCCAAATGGTTTCCTCCAACAATACTTACTTGTGTTGAAACATGTGATGATAATGGTACAACTGCGTATACTCGTGCAGATTCTTTTATAATTGCGTCAAGGTATGTAAAATTTTCCAAATCTTCATAACTTATTTGTCGTGATATATCATCACCAAAATTTCGCTTATTTCCTTTCGAAAATGTGTAACAACTTTAGGATGTTTAGCTAATAACCAGATTGTGTAACAGATCATATTTCTAGTCTAATATAGTATTAAATAAATTATCAGTTATTTAAATGAAAATATTATATTTTAATAATTTAAAATATAAAACTTATCGTATCTGTACCGCCTACACTAACTTCCGTAATGGTGGAACAAACTTCTTGATAAGTTAATGGAGCTTCGCTTCCATCATAGTTAGGATCGAGTGGAGTGTTTAATGTCAATAAAATATCCAACAAATTTGAACAAATCTTTCCATCACTTTGTATATTATTATTAATCTCATTTCTTCTCTTACTGATAAAGCCAAGCATAGTTTGATTTAACCAATCAGAGTTCTCTTTGTATTTTTGTTCAAATGTAATATCCTGGAACATAATTTTTAAATATTTCAGGAATGAAAGCTTGAAAAAGCATGTTCGAAAAAAATGTTTCTGAGGCTTTAGTAAATTTAAAGGATCTTTTGATTTCTTCAAGTCTAATCGGAACATCTTGATTTTCACCGAACAAGTACGTATTAAGACAATAAGAAGGTTTGCGAGTAACAGTTTATAAGATAATATTAGTCGCGAAACATTTCATCCATTCAACAAAATCAATTTGATATTCTTTTTTGTCTCAATAACTTTCATTCTCATTAAATAATGATTGTACAAGTTGGGTGAAGTCTTTAAGAAATCTGTGAGAACTTATTGATTGCATAACAATTTTTCTCGCTTCTATGATGTAATCCATTTAATTTAACATGTTTGACTGCACCTCTTGGAAAAAATTTAGTTTGTGAGTTTGTAACATAAACTTGATCGAGTAACGAAGGATGATAAAGAATAACGGTTCTTTTACTCCAACCCAAACTTCAAACATATCACCATATATTTTATGATTATCCTTTGCATATTGTTCTGGATTTAATCCTATTTGATGTAAATTACCAATTATTGGAAGTGGAAATGGACCAGGAATCCGAGATTTACGTGTAAAATATTTGTAATAATATCTTAATATATATAGGAGAATTAATACATCGATAGTTTATCTCTAAAACTATTGACGTGAATGTCATTGTTGTTAATAGTCAAGAAATTATTTTTTCTTTTTCTTTTTTTTTTGTGAACAAAAAATGTTCATAATATCTTCAAATTTGTAATTTTAGGATGGGTTTATATACTTTATTTCTTTTTTGAAAAAAAGGGCCAAAGATTATTATAAATCATACCATAATTTGTAAGTTGCATTGATCGGTGGACCTAATTATTTTAATTCATTAACGTGATTTACATTAATTCGGCGGACTTAATTATTTTTAAGTCTAATTTTCCTCATTGATTCATTATAACGTGACTTATGGACTTAATAACCCTGTAAATCACGATAATGAATTAATTATTAGACTTAAAAATAATTAAGTTAACCCTTTAACTGTATTCTGGCCATATTTGCCTGGAATTTATTAATAATTTTAGAAAAGTTATAGTTATAGGGCTATAGTAAATTTAATTCGTTAATCCGTTGAATCACGAGTCAACTGAGCAGAAAATAAACTATTGAAACTTTATAAGAAAAAATTACATATTTGACTCTCAAGAATTACCGAAATTTAATAAATTTTAACAAATTTTAATAACTTTAATAATGAAATTTAACGGATTTAATAAATTTTAAGTGATGTCTCGTTGTTTACGTTATTGGCGTAAATTCATACGGCTTTTGACGTAAAATATAATTATTCTTTTAAAAAGTAACTGATTATAGTAGAATTCAATATATATCGGAATTTTTTTTTTGATTAGGTTCAAAAAATGATTTGATCGATGATCGAGAATTTCCTGTTTAATTGGTCACGCGTAATATAATTGATTGGATGTTCCCTCAAAATAATATATATATACACATATATTCATTTTTTCGTTATTCTGTATATATTTTTTTATGTATTAGAAGTAATATGGCTTATTGCAAATAATCGGTCAGCATAAGAAATAATTTTTCTTGCACAAAATATTATTCTGTTAAAGTTATTATCAATTTACTATATCAATTTGAGTTATTCATTTAAACATAACATTTATTTGTTCAATTCATTACAAACTGATTTTATTTATGTAAAAAAAAAAGTTTGCATGTTACTCTATAATTAATGTTGATATAATATATATATATAATAATTTCTGATTATAGACTTAACAAAGTCTTTTAATTAATCAATCAATCATAAAATTTATCTTATATAGCACAGCCTAAACAAATACTTGTTATATCATGCAATTGTTTTAGTTTTTCCTTTAGGTAGCTATTGGAGCTGTTATTCACTATGACGTCACAGGGATTTTTTCTTGGTAAGTTGGACAATTTGTAACCAAATAATAATTATGGTTTAACTTGATTTTTCGAATTTATATAAATAGTTACGTTCATTATATTAAATTGCTTATTAAATTTGACTTGTTAATTACAATATTAAGTATTAACCTTGCCGACAATCGTAATCTGTGCTTGGTATTAATATTAGAAACAAGAACCTCCTTTATCACTTAAATACTTATTAAAGAGGTTTCTCATACATACACTTTATCTTAGTAAAGAAAAAAAAGAGATTTTTTAACCATTTTTAATTTAAATACTTTTGTTTAAAACCTCGTATTATAAGTAATACTCCGTTAAAATAGATTGTATAGAATTTATTAGGCAGTTTAAATAATTTAGCATATAACTCATATGAATTAAACAATTTTTTTTTATAATTATCTTTTGATTACTATTACAATTATTATATTAAATTGTAGAATAAAATTAGAATATTTAATTTTATATAATATTATTTTATTGAAAATAATTTAATATAGTTGTTTAATTGTTGGTAAAATTGATAATCTTGTTCTCTTATATTCTTAGAAATAATTTTGAGAACGCTTTCAAACTTTATCCTGATAAGATCATCCATTAAAAAAGATGTACTAAATAAAAGGTAGTATCGAAAAGATTAATGATTATATAGAACGTCTAAAATATTTAACCTAACAACTTATAGTTTATACTACATCTGTGATAATGATGAAAAAATTTAGAATTTTTGATGTAATTTATAGTGATTAGTGAATAATTAATTATACGATAATTGACGTCACTGTTATTTACGCTTCATTCTCATTACTTTGGTTTTATAAACATAAATCCATTTAAATCGTTAATTTGATTTCATAATTAAGTTAATTATAAAACAAAACTCGATAATTTAGAATAATTTATAATATAAATATGAAATGAATTATTAAAATTACAAACTAAGAAGCTTTTGTAAGATAACTTACTACTCTAGTCTTGGTGTTTAAAATAATTTTTTTTAAAAAAAATAATAAATATAAAGTATACTTTAAATATCAATCATAAAAAATTTTATATAATTCGCATCTAAATATCTAAAAAATTGAAAAAAAAATTAACAAATTAGATTTAAGGATAAATAATATCTAAAATATCATCATTTAGAAAATTTTTCTTTACCATCAGGAATTTCTAATTCGTCTTGTTCTTCTGAATGAAGATTCGGATTATTATGTACTTCGTCTTCATCTTGTAAAATAAGAACATAAAATTAGTACATGTATTATCTGCTGTTATGTTACATATATAAAAGCCAATTTCATATACCATCAATACAAGAATGATGTTTCATTATTTCTTTATTATTATAATCTTCTTGAGAATCTAAATAAATAATTTAAGAAACCATATTTAACAAAGCATCATTAATATATTAAGTATTGCTCACCATTTTTTACTTGCAATTTTTTAAACATTTTGGAAAATTTTTGACTATTAACTATAATAAATTTTTGAATATGTAATTAATATCTTTTCACTAATATTTATAGTAATTTAAAAAATAAATTTAATAATTACCTTTAAAAATATTGCTTATTTTTTTTGACATACTGTTACTACTTGATTTGGCAAAATCATTAACTAAAAAAAAGCAAAATAAAATTAATTAAAAAGCTCTACTATAAGAGGTTGGAACCGGTTAAGCTTAACCGGTTAAAATGCTGAAAATATTTGTCATTCTGGCCAAGTTTACAGTGCCGGCCAGAATTATAAATCACGGGACTTCGGATAATCAGGCATCAGGTAAGACCAGGTGGTGGAATTTTTTGTGTTAACTAAAATTCATAATGCGGGCCGAAATTCATAGTGCCGGCCGGACAATTTTGGCCTGAATTTCGTCTTTCAGCTAGAGTTTCGTTTAGTTAGAGTTTTGGTCTAGCCTAATTTTGGCCGGGATTAAAAATATATTTGATGCTAATCCTGGCCGAATTTTAATGCTGATTAGGATTGAGTTTTAACGGTTAATTAGCCGGTTAAAGGTTTGGTTAACTGGTTATTAACCGGTTAAGACTTTTGGGACCGGTTCCAACCTCTACTCTACTATAAAAATTTATTACAAATTCAAATTTAATAATTACTTACTGCTATCAGGGATATATAAATCATCATATGATTTGCTATGAAATGCTAAAAATTTATAAAAATAGTTAACAATATATAAGATTTATATGAAAATTGATTTGATATAAAAAATTGTTCAATTATATATACCTTCTTGTTCTTCTGTTATTTTTAAATGAAAATAAAAATAAAAATATATTATATTAATTATTAGTAATTGAAATAGTATCCAATATGTGATAATATACCTTCTGTTGCATTTCTTGGTTCAAGAAAATTTTCAAAATTATGAATTTTGCTACTTGTAAATAATAAGCTGCAAGTTTCTTTTGCTTTTCTAAGCTGTTTGTTTTATTTATTTCTAAATAGTTATTTTCTTCTAATTCATTTGGCATATTCAGATATTTTTTATGAATTTCATTTATTTTTTTCTGAAGCGTTTTAATGTCAGGTCTTTTTAATGTATCAGCATCCCAACATTGTTTCATTAATTTTTTGTATTCTAACGGAGTTCCTGATACTATTCTTGGTCTTATACCATTAATAATATTCATTGCAAGATAATAATCATGTTCATAATTATTAAAAGGTGGTTTTCCAGATGAAATTTCCCACATAAGCATTGCAATACTGTAAATATCAGATGCCTTTGTCGCATGTTTTCCAGAAATAACCTCAGGTGCTATATAAGGAAGGTTTCCATATATACTATTTTGTGATTTGTCTGCAGGACCACAAAATCCAAGATCACTAATAAATAATCTTTGATCAATTTTATCGAATAATATATTTCCCGAATGTAAATCTCTATGGATTGCATTTTCTTCATGAATATCTTTGAGTGCAGTAGCTATGTCATAAGCAAATTGAAAGCTACTTTTCCATGTAAGTTTATTATAGTTTTGCTGTAAATATTCTCTTAAATTTAAATCCATTATACTCATTACAAGCATGTAATTCCCATTTGATGGATCTTGCGTTAAACCATAACAATTGACAATATCAGGAGATTTATTACTTATAGTAAGATGTGATTTTGCCTATAAAAAAAAAATATATTAGTTAATTTATTGCTAATAAGATAATTATCTGATTCAATAGTTACAAACCTCCTCAAACCAACTTTGATCTGCACTTCCAACATTTTCTAATCTTCTAAGTACTATATCATGAATTCCAAATCTTGTTAATTGTTGCTTCGTAGAATCCCATTCATAATATCTTCCATCATTCCAAACTGCTGTATAAATTTCCGAGAATCCACCTTTTGTTAGATATTTAATGTTTTGCAAATTATCATATGGAATCCATTCAACTATTTTTTCTGGTTCAAATGTTTCCATTTGACATTTTTGTATTAAATTATCAATAACATTATTTCCAGATGTCCAATTTAAAAAATTTAATTTTAAATAATTTCGAACACAATATTCACAATATGATATAGCTAAACGTACTTGGTTACAATTTTCACAAATTCTTCTTGTCCCTTTATTAAGAAGAACTTTATTTCTATCAATAATTTTATTTATTCTTCTTATTACTTCAGTTATTTCATCATTTGTAAAAGATTTATCAGCAAGAACTGTTTGTTGTATAAATTCATGTTGTTTGTCTATATCATTATGAATATTATAATCTATTAATGCGATCGCTCTATTAATTGCAACATTAATTAGTTCCTTTCGTATAACAGACATAACAAAATATTTCTTTTAATTTTGTTGGAAAGAAAGGTTTCAGAACGGAATTTCATGTACCGCCGCCTTTTGATCAACAAATTTGTATCACATGCTACAACAAACCTAAATTCTATGTAGCACAGCATCATTAGGTTATAATTTATGTAAAACGTACGAAATTGGAAAATAAAAAAATAAAACCGTGCAAAATTTTCGATATTTAACTTAGGTATATTTTGTTAACTTTTGAAATTAAACTTTCAAAATTGAAAGATTTTCTATGACAAATACTGAATTTTGTCTATTTGTAACGTTTGTAAAAAATTCTAGAATATAAAATTTGTCAATTCAATTTTTTTAGAAGAAAGAGTTCAACATTTTACAGATGTTTTATGGGAAGGTTTACTTGGTCACATTTTTATGGGAAATCATTCAAGATCACGTGCCATTTCCAAAAAAATTTCAAATATGAATCATATTTACATTTCGAATATCTTCGTGAATTACTAACAATATTATCATAATTTTTATTTGCTGAGCTGATAATCTTCAATTTTCCTTTTTTTCAATAAATCAAAATAATTTTAATTATTACAATACAAAATATTTGATATTATTCACTTCAATGTTAAGTAAAAAACTGTATGATAAAATATGATATTAAGTCTTCGATGAATGGATATAGTATGGCTTTAACTTTTAATGTATCGAAGTTTTTAATTGTTTAAAGGTAAAATATTTAACTGATTTGAAACTTTAACTAAGCAGTTAAAGGATTTGTGACTTTTTTACGTCTTATTTTTTTTGGGTTAATTTATAGATAACCTGTAAATAAAATCATAATATTTGATTTTTCTAAAAGATAATAAAAAATTTTGATTAGATTTTATGAATTGAAAAATTTTTTTATTTGCATATTTTTCAAGTACGACGATTTCTGTCAAGATCTTCACGATTTATTCCTATCAACTAATTTTTACTAGTAAATTTTATTACCATGTGTAAGATTATTATCAACAACAATTTTTAATTATAAATTTTAAAATTAACTTTACTGTAGTTAAAAGTCTAATATCGCGAATAAATTTTGTTTAATTTGCAATGAGATTAAAGAACGTTTGTAATTTAAAAGTATTGTTTATTAACGTTGATTT